TTCAAATTGGATGTTTGTGAAGAGTGAGTACAAGGCTTGTGATAATGGTGACACATCTCTCATCGCCTTCACCGTACACCGTAGTAAAAACTACATCGGAATGTTTTATAATTTCCAATTGTATGCTGAAAGCACTTGTACGTACCATACTCGCCTAGATTCACATCGTAAACAACAACGATAAGAATCTCAGACGAACTCGTGTTAGAAACAGACTCGCTGTCGCTGGAGGTAATATTTCTTGAGAATTATTGGCGCAATTATAAGTTCTCCACCTTTGTACAGACATTCTTTTGGAAAAGGAGTCGGTGTACCCGCTAACTTGAATTGCTCCCATGTGTGCCAAACTGTGGCTCTTTTTACATTCTTCATTCTTCCAGAATTGCAAGCCCAAAGTTCTTTCTCTTATTTATATACAAAAAAGAAAACAAATTAGTGGCGCTGTTATTCTCTTGGTCTGGCCATCATTTCTGAAGACATTACTGGGATTTACGTGCAATTAACCCCTTTCAATGCATATTTGTGTAAATTAGTCACTTTAATGCATAATTATGTATTGTACCCTATTTTCGGAACAAAAAAGAAAACAAATAGATGAACAAATTGTTAAAATGTCGAATATTTAAACCTCCTGTTGTAGTGAAAACGTGTACGTTTGACCCTCCGTTTTCCTGGGAGCAGATCGACTGCCCCTCAATCAACTTGAAATATTCGCCCTCCAAAAAACATCAACAACGATAGTGGATATAAAAATGAACTTACACTGTACTTCAATATAAAAAGTTACTTTATTAATAATTGCAAATGGTATAATTATATTCCACTCGACAGGTCAGCATGACATTGAAAATCCACGCATAATGGTAGGTTTTGGTGTACCCGCAATACACCATAACTCTGTATGTTATGACCGAAGCTTGTATGGGGCAAGGCCTGGTCATAAAAAAAAATATAAAATATTATATTTTTAAATTTATGTAAACAACTGAATTTTTTGCAAGTCATAAAAAACCCATATATCCGTTTATTGTTGATAACAGCTACGATGCTTTAATGTGGGTTATGCCTGTTCTTATTTTTCTTTTTCAGTTAGTAAAGTTAAATCAAGTCGATAGTTCTGATGATTTGTTTTTGAGAGCGTGTTCGCTTTTCACTGAAATGTGGTTTCTATGCCCGCGAAAATAAAAATACTTCAGGTGGTGTTTTCTACTACTGATTTTTCCCAATTCTGAATGCATGTTCAAGAGTATGCGCGAAGTATTTAAATTACAAGGGCCGTCACCTTCGGGGTGGGGGTTGAGTCCAACTGGACGGTAACAACGCATGCTAAAAACACAAAGGCTCTTGGGTACACGCTTGTTTGTAAACAGCGACACGCTATGGCCGTCCGTCGCATGCGCAGTTGTCGACTACCCGCTTAGGAATAAAATTCTTTGAGCCTAATTATTATCGGTTTCGTGTAATCCAGTTGTTCATACATAATCCGCCAGCTGGTATGTTTTGAAATTGGTAAATATTCTTGTTTCAGTACGTGTTCACTGGTTGGACATTTTACCATATAGCACCTGATATATTGATTGCCACTATGCCAACTTGTCAGATCGAGTGTGAGTCTGATGACTTTTCACCCACTAAAAAAACTTCAACTTCGAGAAAGTCTGTTTCTAGGCACGCCTACCAAATTATGATCTTGTAATACTTCCCACAGTACAGCTGGAAAAATTAACAAAATAATCAACCCAACTCAAACCATCGTGATTAAACGCGTCAATGCCAATTCCCACATTTGTATTATTAGTAGGTACTAGTAATAGTTTGCTGTGGTGAAACAATGGGAATATAGAAACGGTTCTTTATGAGCTGCGTTTAATGTGAAAGGTATGTCGAGTTATAAATACGTCACTGACGTTATTAATATGGGTGTCATTTCTGCTACAAAAAGAAAGAGCTGTCACAGTTTTCTCGTCATTGGCTGGCTGGGAGAAGACGTTCGGTTATTGCTTAATACTTGCAAGTAAGTCCTTTTATCTAATATTATTTCACTGGCGTTGTCTAATATGCGTAATCACTAACTAAAACTAACTAAAATGTTGCTGAAGTGTGTTCAAAAGTGAACGGATTAATAGAACGTTAATTTGAATAGGAGATTGTTTAAAATATAAGTTCAGTTCAGACTCTGCGGTTTGTAGATGTGTGAAGTGCCTGCCAGTCTTGTCCTATATGCGACGCTATGTGAGGTGACTGTACCAGTACTACGGTTGGACTCGATTTCCAGTCTCTGTCCCGCGCGTATACGGAGCTGCCATCTCCGTTCCGCGGGTTGCCGCGAAAGCCGGGTTATCGCGAAACAAACAAGAGACTTGTTTGTTTGCGGTAACCCGGCTTTCGCCATTTATACACTCATATAGTAATTTATTTTATGGAAAAAACAAACAATAGAATATATGCAAGTGTATCCTTGGGCAATTACGGTAGTATAGCGGCAAAAGACTGTAACTGAGTCTGTACTACAGTATAAACGTAACGAGTGACAAGTGCACAACTACCTGTGGCACGGGGCTCATCACCACTAAAGACCTATACCCGGGCATTGTTACCTTTCTCAACAGTGTTTTGGTAGTGGCGGTGGTGGTGTGGGGCTTTTAATTATTTGCACGGATATGCCCAAGGTCAGTTATCGCCAAATTCTTCCGGAAGATCCATCATTTAACATATACATGTATTTGAAAATATTCTAAACTTTTTCCAATTTCTAACTGTGCTTAATGTTTTTCTGTTCAATGCCATAATTGGCTGACCACTGAAATTCTGCTAAGACTTTCAATGTGTTTTAATATTGTCTTCATAAACGATGATTCGTTTGTTTTCACTGGACAGAATCCCTAAGTATGCATTGGTAGGGTGTCATTATAAGTGAACTTGACGTATTTACATTAATATGGCACCGCGTCTTCGATACTACTTAATTCTGAATAATTGTTTATATCATCTGCTATCGACAGTCTTGTCAGAGGTCCGACACAAATCGTTAGAATGATGGCGTTACACTTGATTTAAAAGACTTGATTGTATTCCATGGCGATTGCGATATATGAGTACGTTGTTCATATTGATTGATTATTAAATCGATAATAAAGTTGGACTGACTGAGAGTGACTGAATTCACCCATATGTCAGATTGACAAATTAGAAACTCTGGGTGAGGCGATGGCAGAAAAGAAAACTTTTCAAAATATTTTTTCTTCACTTAGTTAATTAGTTTTTTTTCCAGATTTTTTCTGTCATTGTTAATCCATACAAGATTTTCTCCATGTTTTGTTTTCTTGTGGAAATACTTTAAATTCTGCCATCGCACCCTATAGTTTATAATGATCCACCTCTCATATAGCAATATATGAATGCGGGGCAAAGTTCGTTTGCCAATAAAATATATTGCTTTCTAGTATGAGCGAGAATGACAACTGACATATGTATCAACGAGTGCCCTCAACTTGTCAACGAGCGCCCTCAACTTGTCAACTCACGACCTGCCAGAGTCCAATTTGATCCATGTTTGCGTGGAAATATGTGTAGGTTCGCGATTTGGAGGCTGGTGACTGAAATATTGTTTTTTTGGAGAATTTGGTCGAAACAAATCTCGGGATGAGTTTCATTGGGTCCAAATCACGACTCACTGTGCACTCGCTGTGTTGCAGCCCCAGCCATGTTCAAGTATCAAATGCAATACAACCATAACTTATGTGATGTCTTTGAGAATTAATTTAAAATTATATTTATCTTTCTACCTCGTTTACATGACCGCATTTTGTCTGAGCCAAACAGCTCAAACCCACGCGCGGATTTAGGGGGACCCACCCCCCTTCAGCCCGCAAAAAAAAAAGACAAATCACAGCCCACGTCAATAGGAGCCCCCCCCCCAACCGAATTTCTGAATCCGCCAGTGAAACCGGCTTGCTTTCAGCTCGTGCCGAGTTCGGCTCCAATGAATTAACCATGATAAGTATAATTTTGATAGGACCATAAATATAGCCCATGCCAAGGGCGCTGTTCCACTAGGCATGGAGGTCAGTTACCACCGATTATTCGTTGGGGGGGGGGGGTATAAACAACTTGAAGAAGATATTTACGTAATTGAAAAACGAGACTACTGAATTTTTGAATATTAAATCTGAGTGACAGCTGCTTTGACCTTTATTGAAAGGTTTACCCCACACTGTGTCAGTTTTTTAGATTGCTTTTTTTCTGCACAATTTTAACATAGTTACGTTGTTTACATGTTTATAAACACAACTATGTCTGTGTTACGTCACTCACTTTCTAAACTGACTAGAAGCTTTGTTTTCGATGGCTGTTAGGTAATGAAAACCGAGTCCGTTCAAGCAAGAAATAGTACTGCATTATTCATCAGAAAACAAGACAAACGGAGATGTTAGGAAACCAAGTTTTTAATGTTTCTTTTCCAACGATATAAACAATACATATGCTCTCCCGTTTTAGTGTGTCGCGTGCACCGTTTCTTTCCAGTTAAACATTGTACAACGTAGTTCTAGTTCGTATTTACGTTTCTTCAAAAAAAGCTCGGGTTAGTTGACACAAACAACTTATTGTTGTTGTTGACCGTGATTAACCACGTAATTGAAGGGTGCATGTGGCAGAAATACTGTTTCGTAAAGCGCAAAAGCCTGTTGGGAAGGAATTTCTGAGATTGATGGCGCATATCGAACTATTCGGAGTTTGGAATAAGGAGCGCCTGGCGAACTGTTCGAAATTCGGACAAGTGGCGCGTTCCCCCATTCTCCTTCCCAGAGTTCCTTGCGGTTAGATCACCGAAAGTATATATTCGTGGAATAGAACTCTGCCTGGGAGATTGGCGTTCCCCAACACGTATGTCATCGGTCTATGTTATTTTATTATTGCCGTACTGCTGCGTTTCTAGACTCTCGCGTTCCGTTTCAATGAGGGCGGTGTTTAGCGACCTTTGTACAGAGTGACCTTCAGCTGTCGCAGGGAAAGCCGGCGAGAAAGTGTCAGTTCATAATCTTGATAGTTGACACATTTTTTGCGTACGAGGGCGTGGATGTCGCCGTTCATGAGTCTGCCGATGGGTCTTGGAGGTGTAGAACCTAGGAGACATGTTATGTAAGTAATATTTCGTCAAACATACATATCAAAACTGTGTTCTGGTGTTGTCGATCGGAGATTATTGTTATGTACACTCGTAGTGAAACGGTAGTGTCAGTGAATAGCAAAGCCCGACTTTTTAACGACAGGACTGTACTGACTGGCTCACAGCGCCGATTACGATAGCCACTATTATGTATACCAGTATCCCAGTTACCCTGGCCGTAAGTACTTGAATATTTACAATTTTTGGATGGGGTAAGACAAGAAATAGACCAGAGTTACAAGTGACCCGCCACTGTTTACGCATTTCTTTAGTCTTGCCTACGTATGATAATATAATCACCGAGCTCCATGCATTGTAGTTGTACGGAGGGGAGACAATGGTTCAATAGCTTTGAAGTTTATCGGCCAGCTCAGTAGCTTTTTTTACGTTCAGCCGTTGCAGAAAGTGGCAACTGTTACAGGTACTAAGTTTTGACACGTACGTCAGCACGTCTTGGGCAGCGGGCCACGGCGTTTTTTTTTACGTTCTACCGCGGCCGGTTTTTCTGTCTGCTGAAAAGGTGCGTGCTACCACGGACGTACTAACAACCAAGGACTATAATTTGTGCATGAACGCGCATTTGAAATTTTCAACCACTCTCATAAATATGTAAATCTACTGTGTCACATTAAAAGTAAACTCGTGACTTCTGATGTACACTGTACTCGTCATGGCCCTGCGTACATGGCTGTGTAGGGGTGATATTTACATTGGGCTTCTAAGGTCCCGATGAATAGGAGCGCCTCCACATTCACAGACCTGTACACAGAGCTATACTCGTCATGTCAGCGAGTTTGGGGGGATTAAGTTACTGCACCCTGAAACGTCCCATAAATACTATTACTAGTATTAATACTAGTAGTAAAACATGAGTGACGAATGGTGGCCCAATAAATCTTAGATCAAGTGCTAGCCATTACTATCCACTGTATTTTATAAATAAAGTCTGTCCAACATGTTGCAGAAACGATGTTTTAGCATAACAAAAAACACAGGCAGGTTTTTCAACATTGTTTACCATCCATGAATGCGTCTGTAAAGCCTCTGACATGCTGTTTTCCTGTGATTGCGTAATACCGCGTTTTATGTGGTGAAAGTTCATTGCATCAGTCTCCTCTATCACAGGTTCGAACAAGTGACGTCAATTTGCTTTGTATTCTATCACGTCCACGAATGTTCAAACACAAATGTTTAAACAGTGCATTTACGTCGATGACTTGCGGTTGAATTATTTACCGAAGCAATCAAATGGCTTGGCTCCGGCCACGCAGTGGTGCTCAAGAGAAGAGAGTGAGTGACATGTGTAGCAATGGCCAATGGTTAGTAGTGGCCACTTCGTTTGTATCAACGTCACTTCGTCCCTATGCAAATACACTAAACTCAATGTTTGCCGTTTTTCATAAAATAAACCCACGTAATATTTCATGTTTTTTTTTTACAAAAAAATCTCCAAGACCTAGGTGGAAAATTCAAATTAGTTAAAATTACAGAAAAATACATAAAAATGTCTAAAGGCATTTATTTATTCATAGCGACGAGTATATGTAAGTGGGCGTGTGATAACGTGATATTATGAAATAATCAGACATACGAGAGAATTTGAATTGATCATGATCTGTGAAGCCCACTTTTACTGGGCGACCAATGATTAAAGTTGAAGGTACCGTGAACCGTGGAGATCCATTATACCTGAACCACGTACCCATACAAGAACGCATGTGCCCTGGGGACGACGAAATCAGCTACGACCCAATTAATGGTACTACCCTCAACTTTTACGTCCAAATTGCGACTTGGCCATATTTGCTGGCGCCATTTCTTACATAGTATAGTTTACAGTGGTACTAAAATATACTAAAACTGCTCAGAATAGAAAATGACGAAGCATTTATGTTTTTCATTCTGATACTCAAAGTGACTTGCTAAAATTCCTAAATGTTATACTGTAATACAATGTATATATATATATATATATATAGTCCGCGCCATCTATTTATCAAATATTTTCAGATATTTTATCTTTTGTGTAACGGTGTTAATATTCCACTGGCAAATATAGACGATAATGTACGTCTTTGCTAGCCATTGTCCGTTCATTCGTTCATAGCACATCTTCGTGTGGCAGTATGGTTATGTAGTAGGGCCGTGAACATCTAAACATACCTTTCCGTGAAAAAAAAAAAAAAAAACTTTTGGGCGTAGTTACCAGCCATTGCAAACTCAATTGCTATAAATATTTCCCGTATACTGGCCCAAGATATCTTCTGACGAAGTACGATCGTAAGATGTCTTGTACAGATTCCATTTTACTGTTGTTCAGGCTTGGAGTGACTGTGAACACAGAGAAACTCGTCACTTTTGAACATATGCACTTATACATTTTTATTTTATGGTTCCTTTGAACTATGCATGTCTGTTCTCAGACTTATTTTAATGCTCCGTTTCTGTTTCATCACGCTCATTCCAATATAATTTTTCAATCTAGAGATAAGTTGTATTCGTTAAAGCCGAGATTAATGAATTTCACTAAGAGTGCCAAATTTTAATCTGTATTACTAGTACATTATTGATTAACACCTTCCACCTGGTAGACGAGGTATATAGTGTTCAGCTTGATCTCAAAACCATATACCCTGCATATACCAGTACTTGGGCAATTCAAAACAAAATGATACTCTTCTTCTATTATGTCACATCTTAACGGGCTTACTCGCTCGTCTCGTGGGATACATTCCGTCCCACTCCTTTCCCACCATGAGCCTATAGGTGGATATTCTCAGTCTGGGTCACGGTAAAGCTCAAAGACTGCCCTGTACTGCACTACACGGCCATAAAGTCAAATTGGGAGGAGTTCCTCATTAATGGTCAGTCAGGTTTTTGCTATTTAAAAATAAACATTATAAATTTCATTGCTGAAGTTTTTGTGAGTTAACATATATTTTTGTGTCGACTATGTTGTTTTCTGGATTACCAGTTTCATCTAGTCCTCTATGATAGAATGAATATAGTTTCATCATTTTTTTTAACTTCGAACACACCCCCTCATTATCTTTTTAGTTTAAAGCGCGGTAGTCGTCGCGCTGCGCATGTGCCACATTTGTGTTGATAAACATTGATTTTCCCACAATCCAATGGAAATCACAAGTATGAGGTTTGACCTGGGCGCGACTTGCACTGATTACCGCCGGTAACTCCTTCGATGCCTTCCAATAACATAAACATTACTTAATTAAAGCTTGGAAACGTCTCAGTTCGTACTCTTTGATCTGCGCAACAGTCAAAGTCGCCATCTTTGTTTATATGAGACCCATATATCTCGCACATGCGCAGCGCGACGACTACCGCGCTTTAATCACGAACCTTCAAACCCATGATTTAATGTACAATTAGATGAAATTTGAAGTTGTTTGTATCTAGCCGATTACTAGTATGTCGAATCATTTCATGGCTTAGTGTACTAGGGACTAGTACTGGTACGATCACATCAGCAAAAATTTACATCGTTATTTGACCTGTTGTTGACCTGGCAGTCTAATTGAGGCCCATATTGGAGTGAAATGGCACTAGCAATACGTCGAGCTTATGCCAGCATGTCACCATTTGTCAGTGCGTTTAATCTCCTGGTTCGCTCTATTGGACGCACTGCAAATATGATAATAACGATGACGTCATGATGAGGTAGGTTGACCTTGATTTCAGACTGTTCACTGCATGCCTAGACCCATCTTCATAGTGTTCCTGCACGCGCAAGAAACGCGATAACCAACAATGCCACGATCGATTATAGGGGGCTTGTTATTATTACATTGAATCACACTGATTGATTATTCTAGCATTTCACTGTCCACTCAACAGACCCCCCTCCCTATGTGCCATATCTGAAAATATTTGTCGAATACCTCTAGTTTGAACCCGTGTGTTATTGCAATACACATTGCATTATACATACGTATACACTGTAAATTTGTCTGATCGATTATTTGATGTACACGCAAATGTCATAACTATGTGCTAATTAATCAATACAGCTGTGTGTAGTGAAATGGTAGATTTATAAAAAAAAAATACCATTAAATTTAATTTCGAGTATTTTGCGATGTAGTTAATATTTGGTGTCAATGGTTTTATTGGTGCCATATTTGATCCGTGTTGTTTTGTAATAACATTACTTGCGTGTCTGTCACATCGGCCGATATCGCTTCATATTACTACATTTCGAAAGACTCGCTGCTGAATTGTAATAGCGTTGCTCAGCAACGTGTATTCCTTTGACTGTGGTGTGAAATCATAGACAGTATACTATACTGTCTATGGTAAAATGCAGGTTATGACATAAAATATTATAGCACATCAGAATAGAATAGAATAGAATAGAATAGAATAGAATAGTGCTTTATTGACACCGTAAAGAAAATATTACACTTTTTTTTTTTGGTTAAGTACATCATACGTTGCCATGGATTCACATAGATAAATGGTGGGATTCATAATGTCGGGTTGCATTCTAGTATGTTCATTACCGGTGAATATTCGCATGGGATTTATAGGTTCATGATAGATAGAGCCAGGCATCTTATTGTAAATCCTAACACGAGATAAAATGTCTCTGTTTTGTAGGATTATGGTCGTGGTATTCAGAGATAAACAGTGTCTCTATAGACCACAGGAAGTTGTGAATTTGTAATAACAATTTAAAAAAAAATAAAAAATGAGATTTGCTCTATTTCCACTGGTAACATGCATGGAGCTAGAAAGCTCTACCTCCATGTAATATGTAATACTATTATTCAGCGATCTTTATCATAGTATATTTAGTATTTATCTCATCGGTTTACAACTTTGACTTCATGCAAACCCGGATTAAAACGTGCATGCTTGTTATATAACTAACACAACTGCATTATTCACGATTATTTAATCAAAGGTTAAAATTTACATAACGTCAACGCATTTTCAAACTGATAAGATAAAA